GTGACAAAAAGAAGGACTAGAAAATCACCTACAYAGCAGCAAATAATTCTGACTTTGTAAGAAATCTGGGGCTGGTCCTCCTGGCCTTCTTTGGAAGGTTTTCAGAGGACATTAGTGGGCATTTGTAAGGATTGACAGTGATAACAATCAATCCCCACATATCTGATTGTAATGCAAGAGTTTTCAGGAAGGAGAGGAGAACCTTGGAGACTGAGCAGCACCTGCCCTGCTTGGCTATGTATTTCAGAGGTGGATGGCAGTTCAGTTAGTCACAGTACGAGGAAACAAGGTGGCAGATGGAGATCAAAACAGTGATGGTTGGAGTTAATTCTCTTTATCTCTTCTGTGGATACCCCTAACTCCAAGTAGAAACGGAAGTGAGGCACAAAAAAAGGTTTGAAAAAGGTTTGAAAAATTGTTTGAAGGATTAAGAGGCATTTTTTGCCAAAGGACTGGATTATCCAGGAGCGTTTAAAATAATTTAAAAGCCTGTGGGCAAAGCCAGCCTACAGCGAGTACATACTTAACCATATGGTTGTTACAAGAGAATGCCCAGACACCAAGTGCACCTCTGCAATCTACTGACCCTAACCAGTTTCACCCAGGGCGTGCACACACTGCTCATGARCCCAAAGTCTCCATTACACCTCAGCCCTAGACCCTCAGCTATCTTGCCATATGCTGGTCTCCAGCCTAGTCTGACCCTGGTGTCTATATAGACCTCAAACTTACATGGTAGCTAGTTTTCCTCCTGAATGTATCTCTCAGATGTCACTGCCTGCAGGTGTCCTGTCTGCTGCAAGGGCTTCAGATTCAAGATGAAACTTGGCCTATAGTCCTACCCATGGTCTCATCTCCTTTTGCTTTTGCCTGGAATTGGTTCRTCTCTTGCCTGGGACTTTCAATGAATCCTACTAAAGATGTCTGTYGCACCCACTATGCCTATGGAACCATGCCCTGGAGTCATTCTTTACTCAGGGAGTGAATAGTTGGAGGGAGCAGCAGGACTGTGCTGCTCTCTGACAGAGGAAATGGAGAAAAGAAACTAACAGCTCGTACCTTAGAAACCTTCTGACATTTGCTTTCTCAGCCATTTATTCACACAAGAAATGAAGTTGGAAGGGCTTTGCTCCAAGGTTAATATTCATGGATACTTACCTATTCAGTGATCAGTGAATATCCCCATTCTGGTGGAGTCCCTGCTGACTGAAAGAGAGCAAAGATAACTGTTTTGGRAAAAAAAATGAAAGCAAGGAAGTCCCAGGGAACTACAAGCCAGTCTGTGTCATCTCAGTGCCCAGCAAGATTATGGAGCAGATCATCCTGGAAACCATGCTAGGGCACATGGAGGACAGGGAGGTGACAGCCAGCATGTCTTCACTAAAGGCAAATTGTGCCTGACTAATTTGGAGGCCTTCTGTGACAGGGTTATAATGTTGGTGGATGAAGGATGAACAACTGATGTCACCTACCTGGACTTGTGCAAAGCACTGGACAGTGTCCAACATCTTTGTCTCTAAATTGGAGAGACATGGATTTGATGGATGAATCACTGAATAGGTAAGGAATTGGCTGGATGGTTGCATTCAAAGAGTTGTGGTCAATTGCTTGATGTCCAGGTAGAGACCAGTAATGATAACACCAGTCTGTTGGTTCAGTCAACATGCTGGAGGGCAGGGATGCCACCCAGAACAACCTGGACAGGCTTGAGAGATGGGCCTCTGTGAAGCTCTGGAATATCAACAAGGCCAGGTCGTGCACCTGGATCATGGAAATCCCGAGCACAAGCACTGGCTGGGCAGAGGATTGAGAGCAGCCTTGAGGAGAATGACTTGAGGGTTTTGGTGGACAAGAAGCTGCACTGTTCTTTATATAATGACAGCCATAGTACTTTTCAAAACTTGTTTTAAGCAAAGAATCATGTTACAGATTATATAGTTCTGTAGGGAAAAAAAAAACAAAACTGTGTTAAAGATTTCTCCGATTAAAAGGCAGCAATACAGTTCAAACCCATTTACAGTTTACAGTACAAACCCATAAGCAGGAACAACCATAGAGGATATAATTTAAACAGCTAGAAACTTTCTTTCTGTTGAGGAGTTTCTATGGAATAAATCTTGCAKCAGGACGGGAGGCAGCATATGTTGAATTATATCTGTACTGATACTCACAGTTATTCTTTTACTTGTTTCTATGTTTTAACATTACAAGTGCTTTTCACTGCTTTAACACATTGTAGATAAAGGAAGAAAGACTTATACTATGACTGATTTTGAAGAGAAAGCTTTTATATTTATTCCATTAAGAGTTTACATGGGTTCAGTAATCCGCTGAACAAATTTGGGAAGAAAGTACATTAAGGACTACTAAATGCAGAAATCCCGGAATTGCAACTGAAATACTGCAGATCTATATCAGTATATCTTTTCGTTCATCTTGTGTTCCTCCTTAGGTAGCTGTTACTGGCCAGTGTCAGAAATAGTGTTTTATTATTACAGACAATACTGTAAACTGATCCAATCTCTGTGTTCAGCGGTGCAGAGGTGCATCAGCCAGCATAGATTTTCAGCTGTGGGTCATAGGAAGGTATTGAAGTGAATCTTAAAATAGTACAACATAATTTTCTTATTGTCATATTGCACTATTTTAAAAGAGCACAGAAAGATAGTTCCAGTACCACCCATGAACCTTGCAGTATTAGAACTGCAACAGGGCTAAATCACAACTGGAGCCAAGACATTCATATAAAGCTAAAAAATGTCAGTGTTAATAGCAGTGCATATCCTGCCTCACTTTAATTTAGAAAGTATGAGGTGCTGCTCTTATGAATCTTGTGCTTTATCTGACAAAACTGCTGTCCCAAACAGCTACATAGCAACCCATGTAGCAACCCATGGTCAGCTCATCAGGCAAGGACATATGCATCTCTAAGCTTTGCGCAAAGAGCTGTAATAATAGCAAGATACACTTTCACAATCCTTTCCTCTCTTCCAAGAAACCTCCTTCCTTCTGCTGATATGCATAAAGAAAACAGCTGGTTTTGTTGGCTATGTACTTTGAAGTGACAGATTTATTTGAAGCTACAAGATTAGCTAGCTTTTCTTGATTTGCTATCAAAGCACTAGTCACTTCTGATATCCAAGTTTCAGTTCCTATTGCACCTCTTTTTCAAGATTCCTATTTTGCTTGTTAAGGCAATAAATAATAGTTTTCAGGAGGCAGCTGAAGAGTTGTCTAACTGATCAAGCACATAAGCCAGGCTTCTGTCCCTGCCACAGTGAATACATGTAGCCTATCCTAAGTGAAGTCTGTGCTGTGTTTCTCAATCAGAAAGCATTATACATAGAGTGGCTTAAYAAACCACTCCAGAGGTGGTGCTTTCTTGGTGAAGTGGCGATGCCTTGACATTACTGCCTGGCTCACTGGCACGTCTCTCCAATCTTCCTGCTCCAATGCAGGAGCTTTCAAGTTGAACTAAAACCGGGGTTAGTTCTAGAAGACAAAGATATGTGGATAGAAAAGACAGTGTTTGGGATGTTTGGGTTGCTTCTGTCTTTCCTCAGACTTCACTTCTTCACTTCCTATAGCTCTGACCTCTCACTGAAGAAACAATTCTGTCAGGGTTACCATTTTGAGTGAGCAGATCATAAGGTCTTATTCTGTATGAAACAGCATCCTGATACCATCTGCCAGAGACAAGGAATAAATTTTTAGGAACATGTATTACTTGGACAAATTCTATAAGMATATTTGAATGCAATCTGCAGATTTTTCAAAAAAGCTGTAGAACTGCTTTAAAAAGAAATAATTTAAGTACAAATTCATAACAGTAATTAATTTTTTATTATTATGGTTTTAATGCATTTTTCTAATATTTCTATTTCACTCATGTTATTTCAAGATAAAAGTCACAGCAAAGTTTTAATTTCCCTCATGCTGCTATCATATTTACAAAGAAGCAATATATACATCTAGATGAGAAAAGCAAAATATATTAATATTTTAATAGCAATCAGTGAAAGTTAGTATTGGATTAATACCACAAGCCCATGCAGCAAACAGCTTGCTGCTTGAAATGAGCTTCATCTCACTTGATTTGGAAATCTCTCATTCTGAAACCAGGGACTTAAATCATTATTCCAAATACACTTGTGAAATAAACTTGTGAGGGCCTTTCCCTTTATAATGGAGTATTTATGATAACCCAGATTATATTAAAGAAGTAATTTCATGTTTACTACAGCAATGGAGAGCTTGCATGTGTCAGCGGTCTTTRATGCAAAGCAAATTTTTACTTTTAGGTTTGGAAGTAGTGATCAGTTATTTCATCAAATTCAGAAGGCAGTATATCTGTGATACAATTAAAATTAAATTAATGTATATGTTTGAAMTATTTTTTCATTGTTATTTGATTTAAAGGTTGATGCAAACACATATTCTCAATGTGGCAACCTTGGGGTTAGTTCTGGAGGATGAAGAAATGTGGGTATCTTTAYAAATAAAGATACAAGTTGGCAACTATGCTGATGCATCCTCAGAGAGACGCAGAACTGAAATAAGGGGAAAAGTAGGTTCCAGCTACCGCTCAGCTTCCCAACACTAACATCGCCAAAAGTTAAAGCAGTAATGAAGTTCACACGCACAAACACGCGGACACACATCCCGGTAAGAGCTGTGAATAGCGGATGTGTTGCTCCTCCTAAAGCTCGACACTTGAAAGCAAGTCCACGCTCCGGTGCAAAAACACAGAAACCTTTTTCTCCTATCCGAGCAAGGCTTTTGTGAACGAAGACCCTCTCTCCCGGGAAAATGCCCTCCGGGATGTGCCCGGCGGGGGATGCTCGGCCGGCCCRTTGGGGGTCAGGGCCGGGGGGCGGGCGGGCAGGTGGCGGCGGGCGGGGCGAGCGCGGCGCCGCCCCCGGGCCCCATTGGCGAGGGCAGTGGGGGCCGCACCGCGCCGCCCCCCGCACACAAGTGCGAGCGCCCGGCGGCGGCAGCGGGGCTGCGGCGGGGCCATGCAGAGCTGCGGGCGCTGGTGGGGGCGGCTGGCGGCCCGCGGGGCAGCGCACCTGCGGGCGGCGGCGGGGCAGCGGCGCTGGGGCAGCGGGGAGGCGGCGCGCTGCATCGAGCAGCTCCTGCCGCGGCATGATGACTTCTCCCAGCGGCACATCGGGCCGCGGGAGCAGGAGAAGCGGGAGATGCTGCGAACCGTCGGGGTSCAGGTAGGCGCCGTGCGTGGAGGGGGCGGCGCGCCCGGACACTCCAGGTGCGGACCCTCCGGGACCTAACACGGCGTGCGGGCGCTTCTTGCAGAGCGTCGAGGAGCTGATGGACAAAACCATCCCGGCCAGCATCCGCCTCCGGAGGCCTCTGAGGATGGATGACCACGTCTGTAAGTGACCGCATGGCCCGGGGTGCTCCCGGAGCTCCCCCGCTCTCTCGCGGCCCCTTCCGGCCGCCAGCGCCGTGGGGGGTGGGGGGACTTGGGGTGCGCCCCCRATGTCCCCGCTGAAACGTGTAGCGATCTGACCTTACAGCGAAAGTAAAGTGCAGAGTATGACTTTACCAAGTGTAGCAGCACCATCACCGACACTTCATTCTTCTCCGACAAACTCGGTAGTTTGGCTGCTGCGTTTACTACTTTCCTCTTGGAAATCGGTAAGAAAATGTGTGTAGCGGACAGGGACAGCTCGAAAACCCGTTTTGGAGCTCAAGTGCTACCTTGACTTCACTTTGTCCCAAGAGCCTGATATAGAGGAAAAAGTGTGACTAAAAACCGTCCCGTTAGTGTGGACTGCAGCTCCAAAGGAGCCACAAAGCCAAGGAGTCTTTTGTTGGTTCTTATGTATCTGCAGGATTTCTTTGTTATTTCTTCCCTCTCCCCACTTCCCCCCTCCGCCCCTCCCCGTAATACCCTGCATATTTTAATTAAGCAACTGTGTCTCCGTATTATGGATACACAGTAGACTAATGGTCATGACTTTAAATCCRTCTGATTGAGGGTTATGGGTAAACTGAGGAATGCAAAACATCTGAGTCAGCTATTGTGGCACTATAGTAATTCAGCAAATTGCTGTAGAAAACTTGATGTGAATTCATGAGGTTTTAGTTATTTGTGTTTTAAAGGGTTAGAAAGAACAGTACAGAATTTCTACCTGCATTTTGAACAGTATCTGTGAACATCATGCTGGAAGTCCTGTAAATGAAAGAAACACTTAAAAATCCCCAATGCTGAACAATTCCACTAAAACGGAAAGCTCTAACAGTGGCCATTCGGATATGGGAGACAGTTACATCAGTATTAACTTCACTTTTGTGTCAAGATCCTTTGCCTGATTTGCAGAAAACTTGATTCCTCTCGCTGGCATTTTCTCATTGCTCACCCGTGTGCTGTAATTTGAGTGTAAACTTCAGGCCCGCAGCTCCGGTGAGGTTCCTGGCCAGTTCAATCTGGTTGCTCTGAGATGACATCACGCGTGAGAGGCAGCCCCACAATGAACAGCCAGGAAAACTAGACCCTGGAAAGACAGATTCTAGCCACGAGGGATACAATAGGGGCTGATAACTTTCTACTTCTAAAAATGTTTCATTAGTTCTGTGGCATTTAAATTTTGGTAACTTTCTATCTTATTAAAATGGGAAGAGTCTGTATGCAGAAGCAGAATTTAACAACTTTCTTCTGATTTTGTAACTGCTGAAAATACTGCTACATCTTTTCCTATGGTTAATGTATTTTAATCAAGGCACTCCCTGACTGACAAGTGATTTTCACTGATCTGAAGTAACTTTTTAGATTATTATATTTTAGGTCTGTAGGAGTGGTTAAATGCAGTTAGTCGTTACTAATTCTGTCTTAAAAGCCTTTCCATTTTTTTTTGTAGTTACTATTTTTCTACTTTTAATTAATATAATAATCTTACAAAATTTTACATCATCAAAACACACATAAAAGTAATAAGGGACAGTTGGGCATTAAAATACATACACATYCTTGAAAACTACACTGGTGATAAGTCATTAAATCATAATCTTGATGCAGTGCTCAAAAGCTGGTTTTCATAGTAATTTTGAGTGGATGTCTCCTACACAGCAGTGCATTAGTTGATGTTTCGTTGTAGGGGAGCTCTCACTGTGCAGCAGGCCTCATTAGCTAACAGTGTGTTTAGTTCGCTGGCATTTTGCTCCACTTGCTATGCTGTTCTTGTTCCTTTAGAGTAAACTTTGAAAGAATGTGACTGTGATGCAGTCTCACATTGCACAGCATGCARCAGTTGAGTTTTCAAAAGAGATGCTTGCATGAGGTACAGAAGCTTTTTTTTCTTGTACACTACTGCATTTTTCTTCTGCAGCCATTGTTTTATGACTGAATGTGTAGTTGTTTGTCATTAGTTTGCCCCTACACTGATAGCAGAAAATTCCACAGCATTTAAAAGAAAAGYTAAAAGCCTCAGCTTGAAGTTGTGCAGCACAACATTGAACATCTCGTACCAAAACACAGTAATCTGAGTGAAGCTTGTTTCTTCATTAATGCACCATTAGAGAGAACACTTTCCAGTCACCAGAGTGGTATTCCATATGTGAGTATGGTGCATTATTACTCTATCATATACCTTTTTCTAAAGGGAAATAGCAAAACTGGGAAGTGTCATGAAAATTCTATTCTGTTTTMATTTGTTTTTATTTATATGAATACTTCCATTGGCCCCCTAACTCATATATGGACTGAGAGAGCAGGACAAAACAATGCCAAATGTCATTCAATGAATTTCAGCATTTATAAAATTTATAATACAGCAATTTCCACTTGTCTTTGTAACTCAAAAATGTAATCATTGTGACGCTACAGATTGGAGTGGAGATGAGAAAATGAGCTGTGCTAGAGCTACTCCTTTCTAATAACAAACATAGCTGAGCTTACATTGAAATCTCATTGAAGTCAGCCCTTGCAGATAGAAATAGACGTGCGATTCAAGAAAACCACACACACACTGTAGAAAAGCGCATTTGGGTGARTTTCTTAGGTCTCTGCAAGTACATTTGGGTATTTTGAAAAACCTTCCTAGCTGTAGATCGCATCTCAGGTGTGTACATTAGATATGTACATTTGGTATACATGCGAGTCTTCAAATTTGGATTGTGTGTGTCACTGGGAAAGATTGCATTACAGATCTTTCCACTGATAATGTAACAAATTACTTAAAAGATGGAAAAGGAATCAACTGTGTGTATGAAATAGTCAAAAGAAGTAGGAAGTGGCTCTTGTGGATGCAGCTTGTGTTAAAGAGCTGGTTTATAAGGCATTGCATATTCAATTGATGATAAATAAAATCTCTGATTATAGTAGAAGCACAATCTTTTTGTACCTGTGTTATCTTTCACAGACATTTTAGCACAGGCCTACTCTTCAGTGGAATAATCAAGCTTCATTGCTTCCCTGAAGGACATTAAATGTATGGGGAGAAAGTATTTAGATTTACCTGGACATTTCCTGAGAGCAGGAAGGCTCTGCAGAGGGATCTGGCCAGGCTGGATCATGGGCCAAGGCCAAGGGTGTGAGGTTCAACAAGGGCCAGGGCCAGGTCCTGCCCTGGGGTCACAACAACCCCAGGCAGTGCCACAGGCTGGGGCAGAGTGGCTGGAAAGCTCCCACAGGAAAAGGACCTGGGGGTGCTGGTGACAGCGGCTGAACATGAGCCAGGGTGTGCCCAGGTGGCCAAGAAGGCCAATGGCATCCTGGCCTGGATCAGCAATGGTGTGGCCAGCAGGGCCAGGGCAGGGATTGTCCCCCTGTGCTGGGCACTGGTGAGGCCACACCTCAAACCCTGTGWTCAGTTCTGGGGYCCTCACTGCAAGAAGAACATGGAAGTGCTGGAGCACATCCAGAGGAAGGCAATGAAATCCTGTGAAGGGTCTGGAGCCCAAGTCCTACAAGGAGCACCTGAGGGAGCTGAAGTTGTTTAACCTGGAGAAAAGGCCGCTCAGGGCAGACCTTGTCACTCTCCACAGTTGTCTGAAGTGAGGGTGTAGTGTGGTGGGGGTTGGTCTCTTCTCCCAGCGCAGAAGTGACAGGACAAGAGGAAATGGCATCAAGCTGTGCCACAAGAGGTTCATGTTGGACATCAGGAAGAATTTCATCAGTGAAATCAGACATTGGAACAATGCAGGGAGGTGGTTAAGTCACCATTCCTGAAGGTGTTCAAGAAACATCTGGACATGGTACTTAGTGCCACGGTTTAATTGAGAAGGTGGTAATCAGTCAGAGGTTGAAGTTTATGATCTTGGAGGTCTTTTTCAACCTAAATTATTCAGTGATTCATTTTTCTTAATTCTGAATGAAGTAGTTGTTCTGGTAAATGCCAAGTTGTGCTGGTACAGGTGCATCTATATTCTAAATGCTTTTCAATAATTACTGACTTTACCTGTATTGGCAAATTTTCTTCTTGTACTGCCATGGTCAGTGATGGAGGAGAGAGGGAATGTAGCTTGTGCAAAGAGGTTTCTGTAATGAAATCCTTTCTTTGATACGTGATATAACAAAATAAGCTATGCCCATTTTATGACAATAAAAACCCAAAAACATTTAAAATGTATCTGCTGCCAATAGCCCACTGACCATGTTGCAAAACCACCTGAACATGCCAGTGAATGCCAGTAGGGGTAAAACAGCAAAATGTCTGACCTGCTAACAGTAAGTTTCAGTCCTGTAACTCAACTGGTTCTGAAAGAGGGATGTTGGTTTTTTTTTGCAGTTGGATTTTTCTGCAGATATAGTAAAGGAAAAATGTAATTTTGATGTGTAACTTCTGTTCAGTCAATATTTACTACAAGGCTAGACATCTGTTTGATACTTAATTGGGATCAGCTGGTATTACAGAGATTTTTTTCCCAGGGTTACAGTAAGTAAACTTGAACAATCAGCTTTTCTTTAGGTATTGAAGGTGCTTTAGCACATATGTAGTGATTGACCCATTTGAAGTAAAAGAACAGATTATCTTATATAAGAGTAATCCTCTTTATTTTATCCCTACAAACCTACTGTCTGTGTCAGTCGTAGATATCCCTGCAATGCTGCTATTTTATGTCCATCTTTATATGTAATACGTAAGTCTTGTTCATATGTTTGTAYTTCTGTTTTTTAGTTCAGTATTTGAACTTTTACAAAGTTTGAATTAAAAAATACTTCTACAAASTCTGCCATAATTTATTTCCCCCAAATATTCTCAGGTACATTCTCAAATTTTAGAATTTATAAACATTAGTTCCCAAAATTTTAAGAATGCAATTGGGTGTGCAATCTAAATGTTCTTCAAAGCAATAGTGTTCAGATGTACAGTTATATTGTAATAAAGACTATTTGTGTCTCCAAGTTTAACAGCTCTTCATTCAGTGAACYTTCTTTAATAGGATTTTATATTTAAAATGCCAATTAAAAATTAATTYTCGGTGAACTCATAATTATTTCCTAATGTCAGGCAGATTTTTAGAGCTGATTGAGTCATCTCAGATTTCCTGCTGCTGGAGTCCAAGCAGTATCACACAATTTGCTCCTCACACACTTTCAGGCTGCTGCTCTTTTTTTCACAGRGAAAGGGGAGGACAGGGAAAGGCATCTTCCTGACACTCAGCCTGTCTGTGCTTTTGGCTCCTCTCAGCATGCTCMGGTTGTGTCTGCTGCCTGGGCTGGCTGGGTGAGCACAGGTATCCTGAGTGAAAGGAGGGGCAAGGGGCAGGACAACAGATGCTCTTGATTCCCTGCCCATATCTTGAAGTTATTGACACAGCATCTAGAACTTGCATTTTCGTGATGCTGTCCTATAGCACTGTTACTATTATTATTATTATTATTATTATTATTATTATTATTATTATTATTATTACTATGTCTGACAGTGCTTTGGAACTGGTTTACTTCAATATAATCTGTTGGATTCTTTTCTAAAGAGGTCTAATTAATTACTAAAGCAAGTGAAATAAATTAATCCCTCATTTTTCAACTGTTCTGAAGATCTTGCTTCCTTGATCTAAGTGGGTAGATTTTTTTTTTTTTTTAAAGATCTGGCATAAAGTGAGTAAAATTATATCAGACAAATAATAACCTTTTTGTATTGCATGGTTCAAGTTGTTAACTTGAACTGGTCATTTTGTATTTTCTCCTCTTTCTCTGGTACCATGTTATTTTGCAGGTATCTCACAAGCTCAAGGCAATTCTGCTATGCTAGCCACAAAAACACTAGTAGAAATGAGTGTATAATTTTATGATCTGATGATTCAGTTCCTCTTAGTGTTTTTGTGATATATTCTGTCTTGCTACCTGTGGACACAGCAGTCTGGAAGGGGCCTTGCAGAGCTGCTCGGATGCTCAGTGAGTTTTCAACATCGTAAGATAAGAGTACAGCAAAAGCAATGGACTTTATTCTGTCTTTAATCATAATTTCTAATGAGTTGATGAGGGGGATAAAGATCAACTGCAGTGACTTAGCTGGCAATTTTTTTTTTATTTTTTTTTTTTTCTGAACAAGATTCTTCGATTCTCARAGAATTTTTATTGTACAYTCAATAAAACGAGTTTGTGATAAAGACCTTTCAATCACTTTTTCTTAGAATACTGGGAACAGCTGAGTGTGATGCTGGCCAGAGTCCAACCATTACTTTAATACAGTGAGTTTTTCTTTCTGTTTTATTTCCCCATTTTGCATATTCATTCTTAATCTCATTGCTGGGGGAATTAAAAAAAAAAAAAGTTGGTACCACCCCAAAAATACCTCAAGCTGTTTTTTGAACCATGTATATTAAAATTCTTAGAAATCCTATCTATTTTAAATTTAAAGAMATTAATTATTGCTTATAATATTACAACATTTCCACTACATATGCTCCAAGTTACATAGTTTATACAGCAGAAAACGTCTGCTATTTTCTAGGTTTGGTGACAGTCTTGTGGACCAAAATTAAAACTTAGCAACTTCATTATAAATTTGAAAATTAATATTTAATCATACAGAAGATCACTTGTGGGGTTCACATTCATCTGCCTATGTATTAGCRTTGGTTATTTACAAAATTATCAATACAGAGTTAGACCCCTTTCACAAATAACGTTATGGGAATACACTGTTGAAACCTAGGCTTGATGGAGCGGGAAATAATGCTAGTGACAGAGACACAGGATCCTTTTCAGGCTGGTGAGGAGCCAGGCCAGTCTCCAGCCCCTGCCCAAAGCTCAGCTGTGGGGTCAAAGCAGGCTGCTCAGGGCTTCACCCAGTCAGAACATGAAAGCTCCAAAGGTGGAGACCCTGCTCTGCTGCTGGATTGTCCTCACAGGCACAGCTCTCCTTATCTCCAGCCTGAGCCCCTCACCCTCCTGCTATTGCACTGCTGTTGAGAGCGCAGCTGCATCTCCTCCATCCCGTCCTGGTGGTGCTGGGGGTACTGCTAAGAATGGTTTGTTGCATTGCCTTGCTCTGTGGTCTTTAGACTCCAACATCTGTGTTAATTTCTCTCATAGTTACCTACTTCAATGCTACTTGAATTCAGAACCCTATCAGTCTGAAGCAAACAACAAATTAATAAAATCTACATGGATTTATGTTTGGTCATAGATGAACCAAGAGAGCATTTATCTGGTAGATGAATTAGGGGCTGCTGACTTCCCTTTTTCAGGAGTGCRGTTGCTTGTGAGCTAACTTCCTAAAGATGTACTGTGATGAAATACTTCCAGGCAGTGGAAGGCATAGAGGAAGGAGTCTTCATCCCAGATCTCTTTAAAGAGGCATGTCAAATGTAGGAGATGTTGCTTGGGCTGTACTGCTGCCATTGGCCTCACGGTGACCAAAGGAGTGGGCTAAGTAAGGTGAAGCAGGAGCCGAAGGAGCRTGCCCTTCAGCATTTTGCCACCCTGATTAAAATTGTTTGTGTAACTGCCTTCACAGGTAGCTCATTAAAATGTGGTAATTAAAAATATATTCAAGTGTTGGAACCTGCCAGCCTGTAGTTATTCTAGATGGAGTGTTGTACTATGCTTAAGCATAATCACTACCTTAGCTGCTTGCACTCACTAGGCTTTTGGCTTTGTGCTTTCAGTTTGGAAGCAGGTTTATTTCAGAGATCTGCAGCGCAAGCTAAGTGTCTGCATGTAGTTTTTGTTCACTACAATTGCTGAGAAATAACTAGAAGAAAAGCCCAGTTGTGCAAACAAAGGAAATGTTATCATTGTACAGTATTTGTGGTATGTGTTTGCTGCAGAAATTGCACTCAGTGCATTTTTGTGTGTGACATAGGGCTAGTGAGCAAGTTAAATAATAGCCAACTTCTGCCCTCAACTGCAATTTGGAATTAAACAAGGAAATTCATTACCATTTCCAAGAAATCATTGATGTTTGGATTGTGCAAGAGAACAATCCTCTGTCTGAAACTGCAACTGAACTGTCTTTCATCAAACTTTTGGTTTGCAAGTGGTACAGGAAGGTCTCTACAATGTTAAAGCTCATTTAAACAAACAAGTACATCTGTCTCAAWATAAACTCTGTGGGAAGAGTATTGGGGAGTGGAGTTTTTTACTACACTTTAGAAACTTTGCCYTGGACATTGCTGAATTCAAGCCTAATAAATATACAAGTCTCCAGAAAAAAAATGGCATTTTACTGAACAAAGAAATCAGTCTTCCTACATTAGATCTAATGGTAATGCTGAATAAAAAGCAGAGAAGAAATGGACTTTGAAATKAGAACTGAACATCAGTAAAAAAATAACTCTGTGAAAGGTGTAAATGTGACTATGGAAGAAATTAATTGAAAACCTGGGTATTTCTGGAAAGAAAAATTATACATGGAATGCCATAGTGCAACTATAGTAAAAGGGAAAAACAGGTTTAGAAATCAGAGCTAAAGTTCTGGCATCCTTGTTTGTGATTGCACTAGAAATTAATTCGAAACCTAGATAATTATTTGCCACCACATTCCAGAGAATCAACTATTCTGGCTTGATCTTTCTTGTTGGAGTAAATTACAGACAGGAAATAGGTTTTGAGACATCCAGGGCCCAAGCTATTCTACTTCTGTGATGTTCAGCCTTACATTACAAAGTGTGCTCTTCAAGTTGCAGTGCAGAATGAACAGAGTTTGGTGTAACTGTCCCATTAGAGCAAACTCTGAGGTGAGATTTGGAGGAAGAATTAAAAAACATCTGCTTCCGTTACGTAGGGGATGGGTGCCCAGTTCCACCCTGGTCTCTGAGGYTGGGCAGATCTATCTCTTTGCATGATCTTAAGATGGTCTACTCACCAGCCTTCTGCATCCTCAGCTACTRATACACTTTATAAATGCTACCCATCTTTGTAGCTCCATTCACTGGCTGCCTGGAACGGGTTGACTCAGTGTGGTTTTTGTGCAGCTTTCAGGACACAGAAGTATGTAGAAGCAAGACCAAAGAGTAAACTGTGATTGGTGCAGAGAGGGAGTGCAAATGTTTTCATTYGGTATACTTCAAAATCATTCTTTTGTAATCTCTTAAAACTAGACTAGCAGACTACTTTAAAAGTTAATCTCATTTGGAATTTCGTAAGCTAGAAATACTCTTATTAACACTTAAAAAAAAAAAAGCTGATGAAACAAGCTAAAATTGAATTAAAAAATGGGTCAATTTTATTAATTATTTAGAGAAAATGTGAGAAAATAAAGTTATTTAATACTAAGAAATTATTCCTGGGTGTTTGGTGTGAGCCCAGTTTGCACAAATATGACTGTTAGAAACACTAAAAGGCAAATGTGGATGGCAGTGGCCTCATCCAACATAGATTCTGCATGGTTATTCAGCTAACAAAAAGTGCCGTCTGAGGTATAWTTTAATGCATGTGCAAGATGGGTCTCTTCTGGGTTGAATATACATTGTCTTAGCACAAAATGGGCTCCTTCTGCATGCGGCTGTTTCTCTCACTATTCTTTCCACACCATTTGGAGCTGTTACTACTCAGGTGTTGCATTTTCCAGAATTCCGGCAGAATTTAAACTTAGCCAGAGTATTTKACAAGGTTATGACTTTACTTTTGCTATTCTTGGCTTGCACTTTATTCTGCTAATGTTTATACTTGCATGGCCAATGATTTTTTTTACACCAGGGTGGAAGACATTTCAGTTAAAAACTGCGACTGTTCCATGTAGCTGTATTCTGATGTAATTTCTTTCCAATCAGGTGAAAATGAAATCCTTGAAACTTTATACAATATCGCAAGCAAGAACAAGATCTGGCGCTCGTATATCGGCATGGGTTATTACAACTGCTCRGTGCCCCAGCCCATCGCGCGCAACTTGTTGGAGAACGCAGGCTGGTAATGTACCACTTTGTCCTGTTAAATGTATAAGTACACATTTGGGGTTTGTCCTATGAATCAGCATAGACAAGTACACCACAAACTTTTTTTTTTATTAAGGCATATTATACATATTTTTGGTAATGATGTGTACTCTACCACTTAGTAACTGCTTTGTTCATGCTGCAGTTAGAAATTGACTTTAGAATATGCTTTTTTCTGTGAAATATGCCACCAMTTTTACAGCTCCTATTTATTATGAACTATTTCAAGATTACTTGTTTGCTTTAAGGAAGTACACAGAGTTACCTCCTAAATCAAAGTGATTCTTTCTTAACTTCTGCCTAAATTAAAAAGAGCTCCCTCCTCCACTGGTGTATGCAATTTGGGTGGAGGCAGTTAAATACTATGCAATACTATGATCATGATTTCTGGTGAGGAAGTAAGAAACTTTGAAAATTCTAAAGGCTATTCTCTTAGTATTCCTTCCTTGATCTTTTTTTAAAACCAGAGAACTTCAAGTGTTTGAATGATTGTCGATAAACTGAGTTCTTGTCTGATCAAATAATTCTCTGATGAACAGCAGTGATATTAAACTATCATAATATGACAGTTCATTTATGAAAAAGCTGAGAATAACGTACTTGTTTCTGATTATCCAGCTGACATTTCAGTTTCTGAAGAACTATAACTCAGAAATTGTGCAACAGGCTACATTTCATGTGAAATCTCACTTTCCAACAGACTGAATGTCACTGGTATCTTGCAATTTCTCATTTAGTTTACAAGTTCCCCTATCACTAGTYAGTAAGGTCCATCATTTATACTGTATTAAAATTATAACTCTCATTATTACTGGGTGATTTCTATTTTAGCAATATGCATATTTAAATGTTTTATATATATTTTTAAAAGCCCAAACAWCAATAACAAAAAAAACACAACCAACCAAAGGATCATTACTCTGTGCAAAAATTGTTACTTGTATATAATTTCTTATACTTTGGGTTGCCATAAATGGGTTTACATATTTGTAGACCTCTAAGTCTATTTATTTTTAGATTTCTTGGCTCTATTTACATCACTGGTGGAAAAGTTGCACTGTTTGGAGTAAACTTCAGGAATCTATGAAGTACATCTATAAAAGTTTTATTTGGCCTTATCCTTATTCATGTTTTGCAACATATGCAATCTAAGTATTTCAGTACAGTACCATGAAACAAATTATCAGTTGAGAGAAGCAAAAATAAGAACAGTTAGCAAATGGAACAGAATGAACTGCAGATTTTTYGATCCTAAAAGGTTCTGTAAAGTTAATGAAGCAACTGAGAGAATCTGTCCAGAAATTTCATCTTGCGCTGTCCATTGAAGTCAAACTACACAGCTAAAAGCTAAACTATTAGATGGCTAAAGTGAAGGCTAAAATGTTTGTTGGAGAGAGCGTACATSTGTGTGTGCATTTGTGCTAAAACAACTACCCAGGCTTTATGGAAGCTGTTTGAGGAATCAGACCTCTCCTTTCATCTGCTGAGTGTGTAACACTTTCCACACTGACACACCTCACATTGCAGTTCCAAGGGAAATGCTGCAAGAAATGCTTATTTCTTCTGATCTATTCAATCTCTCTTACATAACTTGTTTCTCTTTGCTTGGCATTTGTTGGTGCAACTAAGTGTCCAAAGTGCAGCTCATTTGATTCCTTTGCCCCCAGATACTAAATTTGTAAGAATAAAACACCTGCACCAAGGATGCCTGCAGTCCTCACATCTCTGGTGTGAGGGTGGTTAGTGGGTAACACTCAGAATGTAATGCAAATTATTAGAAGTTATTCTGAAAACAACTACATACTGTGCAAACATTACTTTTAGAGAGTTGGCTTTCAAATGACTTTGAAAAGTCACTTACCATGTAGTATATATTCAGGCAGAAGTCAGAATGCAGACTAAAGTCAGATATTTTATTTGAAGAAATTGTGGAGAAGTAGAATAAATTAAAATATATAGATGATTACAAAATGCCAACAAACCTTCCAAAAAATGGTGTTTAAGAGTTTTTATGTTATAAAAAGGTGTCTTTATTTGTTGAACTGTTAAGCTTCATACCCTGTAGTTTGTGGCAGTACTGGAATTCAAAATTTCGTGGTTGATTTTTTTCCATCTCTCTGAAATAGTTTGTTTTTACTTCAACTGTGTTTGCCATTCAAATCCGTAACAACAAAATCATTCTGTTTTGTAATAATATGTGCTTTCTCAACTCTGTGGGGTAGGATTTCTGTAATGCATTTCAATTAATCTCGGTGCTTTRCTTCCTGTTAGTCTAATTCTAGTTCCTCCTGCAAGTTAAAATACAAAAAACAACCCTCAGATGAAATAAAATGAGAAAGCACAATTGTAAAACTTAAAGTATAGCAAACAAATCTTAATACTTCCAGACTGAAGGTTTATCTGGCAAACCAAACACTGAGTTTAGCAGCTGTGGAGAAAAAAACTTACTATTTGGATTAGCAAGGTTGCACACAGCCCAGGACATGGTCTCACTTGTGAACTATGCAGTCATATGAGGATAATTAGTTTAGTGCTAGAATGTGCTAAAAAAGGAAAAAGTTTTTGGGAGCATTTTGGGGAAAACCATCRGTATTTATGTATTCAATACATAGCTATTGATTTCTGTTTCTGTACTGAATAGTATATGTGAGTAATTCAAGCAGATGTGTCATTTAATTAGAYAGTAAATACATTAGCAATATATATTACACTTCAAGATAACATGTKGAGTATGTCCTTCTAGCTCATGCATTCTCCTCAGGACTCTTTTCCTGCTTTCTCTCTCACATTACTATTTTGTTGCTCCTTTCATTTTGCTCTCATACTGAGCTCTCCAGCTTTTTCTTTAGAAATCTTTGGTTTTTGCCTTCTATTGAATTTACATGACTTGAGCTTCCAAATTCCTGAGTCTTTCTGGAAAGCTTATACTTTCACTTCATTTTTCAAAACTCTAAGGCTTACTGCTGTCCTTTAAAGGAAACAAACTGCTATTTTCTTCCATCGCTAGAAAACAGAGGCCACAAGTGTTCCCACTTACCGCTTCTTTCTGGCTGCTGCTCTAAATTCAATCTGGCGTAAAGTCTGTCCTGAGCTACTGTGGAATCCAGTGCCCAAAYTTCCAGCAGTGAGAGGAGAGTCTGACCTCTGTTTTTGCCTTTCATCCCTGGACCCATGCTGCTTTGTTTTCTGGACTGTTAAAATGGAGTGTTTCYCTTAGATTCTTATGTTTTTGAAGGAGTTGCTCATGTTGCTACTACTGTGTTGTTCACCAGGTGACAACAGATAAAACTCATATCAGTCTCACTTCCCTCTACTAACATACATGGAAACTTGCATTTCACAAGAAGTTGCATATTTCCAAGCTTGATTATGGGAAATGCCAAGTGCCTTTCCTCCTAGAAAGGTGGAGAAGAACTTGACAAGTAAAGAGCTTCAGAAACAGTACTGAAAAATCATGGCCATRCCTAGATATCACTGAACAAAGCATTCTCCTTCGGATATTGTGACTTCATTCAATTCTTCCACACTYAGTATCTACTTACTCTTTCACTTCTCCATAATGCGCTCACACCTCTGTTTTAAAAGTAATTTCTCTTTTCAAAATGGAGAAACAGAATTCTCCTGTAAAAAGCCAACACCAGAAGATAAAAATTATGGTTGTCTAAAAATAAGTGTTTTCTAAGAAGCTTCCATATTAATGAATTACGCTTTACTATTTTTTTCCCATCAAATAGTTAATTTGTATATTGCCACAATTTTGTTATTCTGTATTTTCCCAGACCCAAACTCAGAACTTTTTCCTTACAGGGTAACCCAGTACACTCCTTACCAGCCTGAGGTGTCCCAGGGCAGGCTGGAGAGCCTCCTGAATTACCAGACTATGGTGTGCGATATCACAGGAATGGACGTGGCTAATGCATCTCTGCTGGATGAAGGGACAGCTGCTGCAGAAGCCATGCAATTATGCCACAGGTATGGCTAAATCATAGCAGGAAGTAATTTTGGAATTTGAAGGTATCTATCCATGTGTAGACAATGGGTTGAAGTTGGGTGTGACCTTGTTACCGTGAGCAGATCTCTGAACACTTGTAGTCCATGCTGCCAAGCTCCCAGAGARGTTTCCAGTAAAATGGAAACGCTTAATGCTTAACGCTTAAACGACAGTAAAACGTTGATGTAAACGCTTAATTCAGACATTTAAGGCCTTAAGAAACCTAAGGACCTAGAGAAGGACAGGAGAAATTCTAGAGCGAGGAAGCTTTACCTTTGTTTGAGCAGGGTCAGGTTAGAGAGCACTCAAGCAAACTCATGATGTGCTGCACCCGTGGGTGCAGAGGGAGCTGCCTGAGAGGCCACCCTTGGCTGTCCCTGAACAACCACAGTGACTGGGAGAGGAAATTCAGCCTTGGAGCAAAGCAAATGACACTCCAGGAAGGCGGGAATGAGGATGGCAGGAACTACCAGCAGGTCAGCCTCACCTCGATCCCTCCATGATGATGGAACAACTGCAGGGCCTGGAGGGCGTCTCCAGACGTGTCTCCCAAGAAGGGAATCAAGAGTCATGGGCATGAACTAACACAGGGAAGATCATGTGTGACCAGTCTGATGACTTCTGCAGCTGAGTGACTCGCTTGGTAGGGGAGGGGAGAGAAGTGGATCTCCCTTAAATCTCCACAAAGAAACTGAAAATGATGGGCTGGATGAGGCAGGAATGAGTTAGATGGRAATCTGTCTGAATGTCAGCCCAGAGGGTGCTGTCACTGRCASGAACTCCAGTTGGAGGACAGCAATATCCCAGGGGAAACAGTGGGGGCAAATAATGATGGGACAGACTGCATCCTCAGCAAACTTGCTGATGATRCAAAACTTGTTGATGGTGCAGGATCAGCTGATAGACCAGTGGGTTCTGGTGATGTCCAGAGGATCTTTGAGACAGGTTGGAGAAAATGGGCTGGCAGGAGCTGTGTGAAGGTCAACAAGGGGAAGAGAATAATCCTGCACCTGGGGAGAAGCAGCCCCAGGCATGTGGGGTACAGGATGGGGCTGGCAGGCTGGAAATGTAGCTTTTCTGGAAAGGCCTCTGGGAGGTTTGGGTGACACCAAATTGAACAAAACTCAGCAGTGTGTACTTGTGGCCAAAAGGCCAGCAATCTCCTGGGCCGCACTGGGAGCAGGAATTCTGCCAGGAGGCCAGGGAAGGATCCCTCCCTCTCACCCTGGTGACTCCACATCCCACAGTGCAGTGCTCAGGGCTGGGTTCCCCAGTACAACAGAGACACGGAAAGAGTCCGGCTGCCCTGCCCGTGGTACCAGCCCAGCCACAGACACCCAGACACTGCTGCTCCTGCTGGTCCCACCACACACACAAGGGCCCCTGGAGGGTGAGGTGCTGCTCCAGGGGCTGGCACTGCAAAACATTCACTCTGTCATTAGGGACATGGGGAACCTCCGTGCTCTGACTTGAGTGGCACCAACAAACACACACCCACACACAAACACACACACACAGACACACAGACACACACCCACACCCACACACAAACACACACACACACCCACACAGAGCATGGAGTCTCCTTTCCAATGAAAATAATCAGAAGGGCATTTAACAAGAACAGGGGTCAAATTTCACTAGTTAGTTTCAAGTGCTTCAGCAACCAGCTATTTAAATGTGACTGTCCCAGTTGTCCCCTTACTCTGCTGATTGGTTATGCTTGTTGCTCACACAATCATTTAGCTGCATTATTTCCCCCCAAAACACAATAAGAGAAATTTGCAATCCCACTCTCCTCATGCATCTCATAATGCCTACCCACCAARTGGGGGGTGGCACACAGACAGTGTGCAAGTTTAGGTTAATTAATTAGAGTTCTSACATGCCTGGCGGCCTCTTTACATCTCTGCACTTGTGGAGATGGGTCTCTGTTGGGCTGATTTTCCCTGGGAAGCACCTGGGAGCAGCAGGAGCTGGRTGTTATCTGGGCTCCCCCACCTGCTGTTGCCTCTCTGGAGGGTGCAGAGGACCTTCTATCATATAATCTAACAGACCATGGCCGGAGTCTCTTGAGCCCTTGCAAGCTGAAGACCTTTTTCCCCCATTAGTGATTAAAATAAGCTTTAAAAAGTGTTGGAGTATATCATTCTAAGTTGCTAAAGCTTGTTCTCACACARGTGTATCCAGTTCTACTTTCATGGATATCTGATGTAGGGCCATTTGAAAGTAATCTGCAGAATCAAACAAAATATGAGAAATGATTGAAGGTCACTGCAGAACTCTGTATCAGGAAGGTGATTAGGTTGCAGAGATTGCTTTTTAGCTATTTGCGAATTCAAAGCCTCAGTCTGACATAAAATTCTACTTACCAGAGAAAATTAGGGAATTGTCTTATCAGAATCATAAAATGCTTTGGGTAGGAAGAGACCTTAAARATCATCCAGTTCCAGCCCCACTGCTGTGAGCAGGGACCCATCTTCTTCATATCCATTTACCTACTTTGGTGGCTCATGTTTGTTTGTCCAGGCCAACACTGAAAAATCTGTATCAAAGATCACAGCTGTATTTCTTTTAAGAAAGTATGTGTGTGTGGAGCCATTCCCATGGCTTTTGAAATTATCTCCCTGTTCTGTTTTATAATATGTTTTAACTTTTTGTCACATATGAGTTTCATTTGAGTGTCTGAAATTAACTTTCTTAATTCAAATGTCCCAGAACCTTTATTCAATCTTACACTGAATCTGGTTATAATAACCAATATTTTCAACTGCCTGTTTTCATAGGAAAACTCACTTCTAGAAAATAAGCTAATTTTATATCCATGTAAAAGAATATTATTCATATGTAAACCTTTTTTTTTCCTTTTTAACAGACACAACAAAAGGAGGAAGTTCTACATAGATGCCCGATGCCACCCTCAAACTATAGCAGTGGTCCAAACTAGAGCAAAGTAATGTTTTTCTCCATTTTCCACCATATCTTTTCCCTTACATTCATTTTCCATCTGTGCCTTTTTGCCATATACTTAATATTTCTAGCCTGTGCTTTCTTTGCAAACTAGAAGCAGAAGTCTATTATAATCTGGCATTGGCTTCTAGTTCAAACACAACTGCAATGAAATTAAAGCTGTTTAAACAAGAGACTAAACATAYGGTAAGAAGAAAATACTCAACTTTTCTTTTAAATTGTTGCGCAAACATATACATTTGACTGCTGAATTCAGTCTGGTCTTCTTTTTCTTTTACTAGGAAACAAGTATATTATRTATCTGCTGTATGCTTTGCTCTGTATTTAGGGTGGTCATATCAAATGCAATTTTTCTTCAGTACTACATATCATGATGTGAAATTCCCTCAATGTTTAGAGCTGCAAAGCATGTTTAGCTCTCTGTATGTTAAAGTCATATATGAGTCCATGAAAACWTCTTGCTAAATATCACTCCAAGGCTGGAAGTGGTTTGAGTATTTTGCCTTCTGCGTGTTTTTGTTTCCAGTTATATAGGTGTAATTACTGAGCTCAAGTTACCCCATGAGATGGATTTCAGTGGAAAGGATGTCAGTGGAGTGTTATTTCAGTATCCAGACACTGAAGGGAAGATCGAAGACTTCTCTGAACTTGTTGAAAGAGCTCATCAGAATGGGGTAAATAGTTTTAGTCACACAGATACAGATCTGATGCATCAAAGAGCCATTTTTGTAGAAACTAAGTATTAATGAGATCCCATCTCAGCTACTTGCAGTTGATAACCATTACAACCACTGCACATCAGCTTTATGCAAGTGATATGGAGCTGCTTGAAATGAAATTGAAAAACCTAGCTCCCATAAAAACACCATTCCTTCAGAAAAGAGGCTGATGCTCTGTGCATTTCTGTTCTCAGACTCTGGCCTGCTGTGCTACTGACCTTCTGGCCCTCTGTATTCTGAAGCCTCCTGGAGAGTTTGGGGTGGATGTTGTCCTGGGTAACTCACAGAGGTTTGGTGTCCCGCTGTGCTATGGGGGACCCCATGCAGCGTTCTTTGCTGTGAAGGAGAATCTGGTGAGAATGATGCCGGGCAGAATGGTGGGTGTCACCAGGTAAGGGCTCTCTCTGCCGTGAGGTGAAGATTGAAATCACAGACTCTTGGAGTTCTTAAGGTTGGAAAGGATCTTCAAGATCATCAAGTCCAACTGCCACAATCTTCACCACTAAACCGTGTCTTCTAGTGCCATATCCACACATTTTTTGAACACTTCCAGGGATGGTGATRCCATCACTTCCCTGGGCAGCCTGTTCCAGTGCTTTAGAACCCTTTCTTTGAAAATCTTTTATCTAATATCCAATCTAAACTGTGCCCCCAGAGATCTTAGTAATACCTAAAAACCAAACTGTGACCATCTTGTGCAGCCTTTGTGAGTAACAAATTAACGTGGTGTTGTACCAAGCACCTTTTTTCTTGAAAGCAGGGTGGGTTCATTGCAATGGCCTGAGGCTTTCCAAGATAATTTACGCCGCCTTATCTGTACAGTTAGACTTTTTTCTCTGTCATCCAATCTTACAATGCATGAATAGAAAGAAGCAGAAAATTCAGTGAACCTCCAAAATAATCTAGAAGAAACTTAATCTAGTTCAAATATTAACCATGCTTAAAGCAGAAAAATTGTGTACAGAATCTTGCCTCTAATAATCACTGTTGTTGATGTACTGTGTGTTTTGTCAAGATGTCTAACTGGTAATAATTGAAATGCAAAGTAATTGTCACTAGGAAGACTGCATAGCTTTGGCACAGAAGCTGTTCAAAAGTACTTCAGTAAACAACATCACTAAAACATTCACATATAAATATGCTTAGGAATGTTTAATTTATATTATTATTCAGTTAAAATAGTTGTAATAACCTGTGTCATTTTAAGGCAAATAYCAAATTCTCCTGTAGGATGCTTAGGATTTTCACTGTGTGCTGTGCCCAACCAGCCATGATATGAACAGAAATCTAGAGTTGCTTTAGTCTTGCTCTGTTTGGTGTCACAATTGACCCCACTTTTGCTTTGCTAAAGGTCTGTAGACCTTTCTGTCTTTGAGGTTAGATAACCAGTTTCAGGTTAGCATGCATAAAGGTGTATGTCATAAATAACTGAAATTTTGGAGTAACAGAAGCAACATTTTCTCTTGTGACTTAGAGATGCGAATGGAAAGGAAGTGTACCGGCTTGCTCTGCAAACACGAGAGCAGCATATCAGGAGGGACAAAGCTACCAGCAACATCTGCACAGCACAGGTAACTTATGCCTTGTTTTCTGTGCTAGAAAGGAAACAAGTTGAACAATGAGTTAGATCTACTTTTGAGTGATTTTAATAGAAAAATGGAGAATCCAGAAATATTCTGAAATGTTCTGAAAAGAAATGTTCTTTGTTCATTTGTTTTGAGTCCTTTGAATAATGGGTCTGCTTGAAAAGAGAGCATTGCTGTGTTTCCTTACTCCAGTCCTGAATTCTTGCAGTGCCATGAACCTGTCTGTCTTGTAGAATGAGCACCACTGAGTAGTGCTGTGTCTGTTATAGACGAGACAGAGCTTTTAATAAAATACGAGGGAACTCCAATGATCTGAATTTCTTACTCAAGGCAGAAGAAATACATTTTTAAAATCTAAAAATAATTACTCAACTTATCACAACTTATATTTTTGTCTATGTGATTTGATGCAAGAATGTTACATTATCAAAGAGATATTACAGGAAAATACCATGATTTAGTGARTAAGTATACAAAACAGTTATCATCAGCCTACCTCCACAGATCTTCAGCTAGATAGGGTCATAACTTTTTTTTTCTCCTATTATTACTTTCCTCCTGGTCTGGATTTTGAGGAGATCTTTATTTTACTACTACTACTATTATTAATATTATTATTATTATTATTACTATTACTATTATTATTACTATTATTATTACTATTATTATTATTACTATTTTTACTATTATTACTATTATTACTATTATTACTATTTATTATTATTATTAACATAAGTTTAATCATTTAGTATTCAAAAGATACTCTACCACTTTTTGTACTGATTCTAAACAAGTTCTTGTGAGACTAGCTTGACTTGAAAGTCTCAAAAACTCTTTGCCGTAGTCTAATTTAAGTACATGTTAATTGCTAAAATAGTTACATTTCAAAGGAAATTGAATTAATAATCAGTGTTTACAGTTTTATAAATGTATTTTGCCTTTCCCTCCTTTTATTTTGTAGGTAACACATAATAAGTTAAAACATCAGCTGAGGATATGTGGTTGTCTCTGGGTGCTAAAGAAACACTCCACTAAACTTACAAGAAGTAGTCTTTGCTAAGAATAACAATAAAAATGAACTGTATTTGTCTCCTAGGCTCTTCTGGCGAATATGTCAGCCATGTTTGGTATCTACCATGGGGCTGACGGGCTGAGGCACATTGCAAGACGAGTACACAACGCTGCTCTAATCTTGGCTGAAGGTGCGTACTTAATGCTCACAGGAGCTGCTCTGAAATCCCTACCCCTTAAATAAATTTACAGGGTGGGGGCAGGAGTGTCCATCTGATGTGTGTCATCTCARCTTGAGAGAGGCCATTCTAATACAAAATTCACAGTTGATATTTTTGCATAGTTCTGATAATGGCATCCAAGAATTAGAAGTCGGCGTGGTAAGAACTTGCAGGCATTTCTTCTGTTTCCTTGGGAAACTAAGAGACATCTTATTATCATCKTATCTAGATGATAATGTTAAACTGCTGTTTGTTAGCTTCTACTTCTCATGATGGACCATCCTAATTTACTCACAGAAATCTTCACAGAGTATTAATAACATAGCAAAAGAAGATAATAAAGGATAAAGCAATAGAAACATTTCAGTTAAATTGTGTGGACTATCGTACCTGTTATGAACTTTGAAATCCCAAAGCTTAACAGCTAAAGAAAAACACATAATCTGTAGTAAAAAGCAATTATTACATCTGGACTATGTGGTCTGGTAGTTTTTTTCACTGATATGACCATCACTGCTGTCAGAAGGAGCTATACAAAACTGGAATTATTGTAACAAACGTCCATGCTTTATTTGCCAGTTTGTCCAGAAGAAGTCTTGCTACTGTGAAAAACCCCAAGACTCTAAACTTCATTATGGCAAGCTCTGTGACAGCTAATATCCATTAATATCTTTCCAATCTTATTATTTTGTCCTTATTGCATTCATATACCAACTGTGCTACGGTATATATTACACATTTGATGTGTCAGAATGACCTTCCCTAGATCTGATCTGCATTATTATTTAGGTTTGAATCTAAATTAGTATTTCAAAACCCCCTGATATTTCACTAAAAAGCTGGTGATTTTGCTGCTCTTTACACAAGGGATATATTTTGCTTTATTATGTAAAAGCATTTTCTTATGGGATAGATAGTATTGTTCTGCAACTACTGCCTGAGCAAACGATGCAGTGTACATATAATAGAATTAACTTTACTCTTTTTTATAGGTCTCAGGAGAGCTGGTCATAAACTACATCATGATCTGTTCTTTGACACCTTGACGATCACATGTGGATGCTCAGTCAAAGAGGTTTTGGACAGGGCAGCTCTTAGAAAAATAAATTTTCGGATTTATAATGATGGCAGAGTAAGCAACTTTCTAAGCCTTTGATAAAGTCAGAAATTTTGTATTATGACATTTTCTTCATCAAGTTTCTAACCTTTACATGTGTCAACAGAACAAAATTGTTTAAGATCTTGTAATTTTCCCATGTCAATTATAAAGATAATATAAAGAATGAATTTATTAAGTGATGCACTGAACTTTCAGAAATAACAATTATATTTTCATTTTATGCCTATTAAAAAAGTTTGTCTAATTTTTTTCATGCTAAATATGCCACTAAGGTGTAGAGTGGAGAGACTGTAAAATTTAGTGATGAAATACAAGGTGGTGTCCAGAATTCAGGTTCTTTTGCAGTATTTAAAGACAGACTGAAATCTAAACCACTTGGATGGTTTAGCAGGGTAAAGGAAAGAATTGGAAAATTTTATATAAATAAAATAAATGCATATCTCACAAATGCCTATAAATACCTATGCTTACCTATTGTTGGGTGGATTGATTTTGTTTTTCCTCTTGGGTTTCTGGAAAGTTTTTCTTGACCAAAACAAATATACTCTATCTGGAGTTAACAATTTTGTATAATTAATTGTGCTTTTATCCTTAGCTTGGAGTATCACTTGATGAAACTGTAAATGAGAAAGACCTAGATGACATACTATGGATTTTTGGTTGTGAGTCTTCCTCTGTAAGTACATAACAAGTCATGTATTAAATCATTCTAATGTTTCCAATGTTTAATGAAAAGCAAAATTGCTCTTGGATAAGGGATGTCTGTAGGGGGATAGGGGATGACCATTTGTTAAATATTAAGTATTTCAGATCCTCTCTTAATTAAAGAGGTGGTGTTACATAAATGTATTTATGTGATGCCATTTTCTGGTTGTGACACTTAGTTCTTCTGATCAGCTGGAACACGTTGCATTTAGGCTGTTATTCTTTTGTGATGCTCAGGAAATGGGGTCAGTTATTTCTTTCCCACTGGAATTTTTGCTGCATTTCATTAGCACTTACCAGCAATACCTACAAGATGAGGACAGCTGAGACATCCATACCCAGTTTCTATATACTGCTGTTCTCATGCTAGATATATACAGACACATATGCTAGTAAAGATGGGAGTTTTTACCTTAAAAGCTGACTAGATCCTGAGGTAAACTGGCAGCATAAGCTAGTTCTGATAAAAGTTGACGACAAAAAAGAATTTCCATTAAAATACTTAACTCTCTATTTCTTTATGTTGAAGGAACTAATTGCTGAGGGAATGGGTGAGGAAACCAAAGGCATCCTTAGCTCCCCATTCAAGAGAACTTCCAAATTCTTGACACACCAGGTTTTCAACAGGTTTGTGAAACTGCTGTATATTTGCTATTTTTATGCAATCTGAGATACCTCCTTTCAAAACTAGCAGTGGAGTCAGTTGAGGACACAGCTCAATTCATACAGTCACCTGTTACTCTGAAATAAGCTATTTAGTAGCATTTTTAGTTATCTTTCTCATTTTAAATGAGCAGTGGAAATTTGTTTTTCCATTAATTTGCTGTATTGTACAAGGTATTATTTCAGGACCTGGTATCAGACTTACTAGAGCCCTTACAGTGTTACTGAGATGATAATAAGCATTTTTAATTCACATTGCTACTAGCAAGCTTAAAGTGCCAGTTTGGAAAGAACTACCTAGCATATATGAATAACTGTCCTCAGTCTTATTTATTTTTTGTGTTCTTTTCCTATGTTAGCAGCTGTGTAGCTGCTCTGCTTGCCTTAACACTGTGTTTTGTCTTCTCAGCTATCACTCTGAGACAAATATAGTGCGGTACATGAAAAGACTAGAAAACAAAGATATTTCCCTTGTTCACAGCATGATTCCTTTGGTAGGTATTTACCAAAAAGACAAACAATTATGTACTTACTTACATGTTTATGTATTTCGATAAATACTGATGTGTGTTTGTATTTTTAGGGGTCCTGCACAATGAAGCTTAACAGTTCAGCTGAGCTTACGGTAAGCTGGAATAACAGCTTCTCACTTGGTAGCCACATGGATAAACTGTGTAGCCACAGTCATTGTAGATGAGCAAAGGCTGCTCTTGGTCTAACTCTCCAGCTGAGGAGTTAGTTTCAGGAGTAGATAAAGTCACCCTCTTCCTTTTGCACTAAGAAAAAGTTCTCAAAAGCACAACTAGGAGTGCAACAACAGGAAGAGAGTGTGTGGTCTTGCATTCTACATTTTGAAAGAAATAATTAAAAGAATTTTTGGAATTAGGTATCACAGACCTTTTCCATCAAGTGATGTTGCATTACCCAAGTTGTGTCTGCTTTACAAATTTTATAATTAAATCCTCAGAAATATGGAGAGATTCAGGTGGGACTGACAATTCATTCTTCTTTTTCAGTTTGTGATTTCTTAGGATAACCCCCTTTTCCCTAGGTGAAGAGCTCCCAAATGAGTTCCCAGATATCTTTCTAGCTGATAGCAAGGGAAGCAGAGCCTTAGCCAGGCTGTTCGGTTACCAAATGGATTTTTGACTCCGAATGAGCCTCATTTGCCATCTCCATGTTGTCTTCTCATTTTCATCTTTCACCAGTTTCCTTTGTCCCCTTTCTCTCACTGCTCTCTCTCTCTCCATTTGCTGTTTTATGTCTGTTTTATGTCATATTTCCTCTATGTAAAACCAACAGCAATGAAATGTTATGCACTATTCCAGACAACTCCTCTGTCTACCCTGTGATCCCACAGCTCTGTGTAAGGGAAGGTGAAACTAAGTAGTAGGAGAAATTAAGGATTATTAAGCATATTTCTAATGCTACAGAAATTGTTACCGGAAATCATAGAATCATTCAGGTTGGAAAAAAACCCTTTAGATAAAGTCCATCTGTTAATCTGGCACTGGCAAACCATGTTCCAAATCACCATATCTACATATCTTATAGATACTTCCAGGGATGTCGAGTCCAGCAGTTCTCTAAGGAGGCTGCTCAAATGCTGGATAACCCCTTCCGTGAATAAATTTTTCCTTATAACCAATCTTAACCTTGTTTTACCAGTTGTAACTGGGAAAAGACACCAACCCCCTCCTGGCTACAGACTCCTTTCAGGCAGTTGTAGAGAGCAGTCAGGTCTGCCCTGAGCTGCCTTCTCTCCAGGCTAAACAACCCCAGCTCCCTCAGTTGCTCCTCGCAGAACTTGTGCTCCAGAGACTTCACCAGATGTGGAGCCTTTCTGACATGATCCAGAGCCTCAGTTTCTCTCATGGAGTGAGGGCCCCACAGAACACAGGATCTGAGGTGTGGCCTCACCAGTGCCCAGTACAGGGGGACAATC